ACCAGCTCGCCTTACAAATATTGCCGCACAAAAAGCGGAGCTTCGCAAATAAAAAATATGCAAAAATATTACGCAAACCAGTTCTTCTTTTGCATGCGCGCATAACGAGGAATGTATTATAAATAACACTGCACATGGAAGTAAAATGAGGCGAATCGAGTTTTCACACGGACATGCATGCGCTGAACTGTCAAAGATCCATCTCTGGCTACTGCATCGCTCGTCGTCTCGGAACCGCTAGTTAACAATAATGGAAAACGATGCTGCACGCCGAAGACCGCGCAATATTTTAATCCCTTACTTGACGAGTTATGAAGCTAAATATTATTATTGCTGCCGATAAACAAACCCAGCGTGCACATCATCATTTTCGCTGGAGATGCAAGGGTCGTGGAATAAAGACGGAAATTTTAAATTCTTCAGAAAAATTAAGACAAACAATTGGATATTAAGAACAATAATTAAATAATATAATTTAATTATTAGATTGAAATAAATAAAATTGATGAAAAAAAATTGAAAAAAGAATTGCGTTTTGATGGAAATAAATCACTACAAATATCGAGGACTCTCCAGAAGTCTATGCATAAGGGCTATTCATGTTGGCCTTTTTATTAATGAGCATATTGTCATAATCAGAACAAGTCTTTACAACAATGGTCAAAATTTGCAGGTATACTTAAATAATATTTAAAACCGTTGTTGTATTTACTAGAATTTTACATTGCCGCTCTGTTGCTTTTTAAGATTTGGTAGAGATGTGGAAATAAACCCAAATGTTCGAAATAAAAAAATTTGTATCTTTATATAAGTGGATGAAACGCTTAAAAAAAAAATATTTTTAATATAAAAGTGTTTTGAGTTTAGTGTTCCAATAATGTGGTGTTTTATGCGTTGCGTATTTAGCTCAAACTTTTATTTTTAAAGTGTAATTTTAACGTTCAAGAAATGTGACATTGAAAAATAATTTAGAATATAAGGTTTTATTTTCTGCTTTCTTTGGTTACTTTCAGAGTTCAACGCAAAATTTTACAGCAATAAAAAAAATGGAAACTTCAGTAATTAATAAAATTTTATCTTTAAAATTAGTGAAGAAGTTTTTTAAATTATAGTTTCTCTCGTTTTTCTATATAAGCAGCATAATTTCCAAAACCCCGTGTTCATTGTTGTCGTCCCGCTCATCATCATAATCGCCTTATTCAAAGCTCGCTGAATTCTCTGCTGCCGGCACACGTGGTGGTGCATCATCTTTTCTGAATGCACGTCATAGTAAAATGCAATATGCAGCGCGCTACATTTGACATGCATCATTCTCTCAATCGGGCGCGCACCATAGAGTGGCAGTTTGTTTGCAAATTGCTAATCTATTTGCAAATTAGATTTTTATGCTTGTGCATCAATGCGTGTCTATTTGCTAAGCCTCTGCACTGCAGCAGCTTTTCTTATGTACACTCTCGCATTCTGTTTATATCACGCGAGAGTCGCAAACTGCTCCACATAATAAACGAGCAGCATAATAAATTTAAATGTGTATAGCGCATGAGAAAATAATTTTGGCATACTGAAAAAGAAAAACGAGAGGCCGCGAGCCATAAGGGAAGGAAATCTTTCCAACGAATGTAATTCGTCAAGTGCGAGATGAACTTTTGATTTCGCAAGTTGAGAGCGACCACTTGGTGCGTGGGAGATTTGAATGAATGAACTTGAGCGAGTCAGGGAAGTCAGCACTTGAGGTCGGCGGATATGCTTCCTTGCCGCACGCGCTCTTTGACTTTCGATTTATGAAAAAAGCCTTTTGTCCGAGCAGTACTTTGGCGAACAAAATAAAGAGCTGCAATTTGTATTATAAGTGAAAAGAAACAATTGGTATTGCTTATTATCATAATTATAATGCGCAGAAATAAGTATTGATTAATGTTGAAGATTTTTAAAAGCTTTTTTTATTTAAATATATAAAAAATTTTACTTTTCGTCATTAGTTGTTTCATATTTATGCAATTTTTATTAATTCAATTGTTTGCTTGACTCTTTTTGCTATAAAAAGAAATCTTAATTTTTATATTTAATATTAAAATCTTAATGAATTTCATGCTCATATATTTTTAAAATGACCAGTACTTTTGGATGATCTTTTAAACCAGTCACCATGTTTGCATGGTAAGTCGTATTTCAATTAAAGCAAAGCAGTTCTTTAAAATCCGTTTGGAGCGTAAATTAGTTGGTAGGTGACAGTGGAGTGCGCACATTTCTGCAACAAAGACCGAAAGCCACAAAAGCGAAGGCCATCAAACTCCAATACGCATTTTACTATTTATTGGAACCAGTTCCGAGACTGTCTCTCGAACGAGCAACAGTGCAACTCACGCCTTTAGCAGCTCCAGCAGCACAATGTAAATACAGTGCAGCGGAGAACTCGTTCCCGCAATGAATTTTTATGGCACTCTCGCGGATGGAGATCGATAAATATAACTGGTGACAAAAGGAACAAAACTGGAAGGGCTAATCATAATAAAATGATGATAATGGCGCAGCGAGTGATATAAATTTCGAATCACAATGAGTGAAGAGGCTGTTGCAGACGTTTAAATACTGTTTTATTGCCTGCTCGCTATAGTCATGATGTGTATCCGAGAGAGCACCGCCGAATGGGGAACGTGCATATCAAATAAGCTCTATAAACCTAATATAATGTGTACGTGAAAGAGAGGAAGAGGCTCTCGCAGGAAAGTTGCACCGCGTTTATAAATTAGTTCGGTTGCTATCTTGAGAGTGACACCTCGTAAAGGGGCCTCTTAGAAATGCGGTCATATATTGAATTGATGATGTATGGAGTATTGTCATCAGTGAAATTGAATTATTAAATTTTTTTTCTTACACAATAATATTTTCTTGTTTTTTGTTTATATAATTGTAACACATATTAAAGAGAATAGTTAAAAATAAATTTATTGTCACCTATTTCAATTGCATTACTAATTTTAATTCATATCATTAATTTTTAAATTTATTGTTATGTATATTAATGTATGATATAATATCTATTTATCTGTAATATGTGTTTATATGTGATATGTAAATTTCAAACTTCAATTAATTGAAATAGGATGATTAAATATTTAATTAAAAATACAAAAAAATACATTTTAAAATAAAAACTTTGCACGCAACAATTTTTCACAATCATTTATCATGAATAGTGGCAGCAATAAGGGTGTTGGAGGCGAAAGTTTCCAAGGGCCCCGCGGCCTGAGCCCTCAGGGGCCTAAATATTCATAAAAAAAACGTGTATCAATAAATTTTCAATATGCGATTTCAGGCAAATTTATGCTTTTTTCTTTGTTCACAAGCTGCACTTCCTTTTTCAAAATATTGCTTACAAATTTCTCCATATTATATAATTGACCTTAGAGGGCTCTGAACGATAATTTTCATATTTATAATACCTTCTATGATGTTGGGGCCCCATTTACTGGAACGCGCTTGAAGTTGCGAGAGGAAGGAAAGTTGGAATTCCCATAATATATAATATAAACTTCAACTCTTCAGCCTCTTAGAGGAAAAGAGAGTAAAAATACTAAAGCTAACTAAAAAAAAACAATATTTCCCAATAAATAACAATAAATATAAAGAAAATATATTATTATCAAACTTTCCCGCCTTCTGCCACGCCCACATATACGCCCACATATACCTTGCAAGCGCAGGCGGAGCTCAGTTGACGGCCAGCCTAGCTGGAAGTCATCTTGGTTGTCCGCAGTGCCGCAGGAGTCGATGGTGTCCCGAAAGTCGGGTGACCCCCCGGATATTAAATCGTCGACATCCTTAACTGGGGGGCGTGACCGGGAACAAGGGGCCCTTCCGGAGGGCCCGGAGACGAGAGCGGGGCTCGTGTCAGCCCCTCCGCCACTCAGGACGACGGAAACCTGCCCTTTGCTAAGGAGGGTGAGACGGGTGGGTTGCGTCCGGGTCATCCTGGCACGTTGACCCTGCGCAGTCCGAGAAGGGCAAACCTCCTGGATCCTGGGGGCGGGGGACCCCCTCCTCTTTCGCCCCAAGCTCCTGGTTTAGGGTTAGGGCGCCTGAATGAGTGGCCTTCGGGCCGGGAAAGCGGTGGGTGATAGGAGCCCTTTCCTTAAATCAGGAGTTAAGGGCAGTGATTTAAATGTTGAAAGTTTTAAGTGCCTGGTGTGGATTTCTGATGAGTGCAGATTTAAGAGGTAAGAGCCTCATTTTTTGTGTGGTAAAGTAAGATTTTCCAATTTCACAAATTTCATCAAGAAGTAGTTTTTAGTTTTGACTTTTCACTTCAGATAATTAAAATCTTTGAATTTGAAGGGTTTTTACTAAAGATTTGATTTTTGGTGCAAATTTAGTTGGTTCAACCTTTATAACTTTTCCCAGTTTTCCTACCTACATGTAGCAATCTTAATGATAAGTATGATTTGAATTTAAAATAAGCGTTCCCGCCATGGGTTTTGTGAGCTGTTTTATTATTTAAGAATACAAAACAAATTTACATCCTGCCAGAGAGATTTCACAGAAAATTATTTTCAGTAACCATATGCAGGCAAAGTCTCCTGCGAAATAACAAATAACTCATTTTCAGAACTTTGTCTGATTTTTCTGCTGTTCATAAATTTTGGAGAAATCTAATACATAAAAAAAAATATTTTTCCACTCTAGCTGGAATAAAAAAAGAGCCCTTGTTAAGTTTTGTCTGTAACTAGCATTGGGGCTTTGATCGCAGCAATTAGGCTTCAACGCGCCAGAGAAGCGATGTAAAGTTGGCAACCCGCACAGCATACAAATTAGTCGTTGATGCACTGAAATCCTCTCGTCCACTGGGATTTTAAAATTACAGCTACATATTGAGCAGCAATTTTGCTTACTCAGGCGGAAAATCAAACTGCATGAATTCCCGTTTGACATTATATTTGACAATATAATGTCACGCGCACGGAAAATTCTACCTTTTGAATGATTGGTTTTTCTGTTCGCAGGCAAAAACCAAACGGCTGCCGCGGGCTGCTGCTATTTGCAAACACTCTCTTCTGTCACAGAGGTAAGCAAAAAAATTTGGTGCGGGAGAGCAAATATTATTGGAATAACAGCACGATGAAAAATCGACCCATTCAACAATGCTCACAGGGTCGAATAATAGACAATGGCAGACAAAAATATATGTGTGTAATTTTTTGTCGCGCTTCTACCTAAGTAAATATTTGAAAAAAAAAAATTGAACAGGATAAAACAAAGTCAAACAAGGCCTTGCTCCTGGTCGTCAGCAGGGGCCGCTCGATCTTTTTGATCAGTTCAATACCCAAATAAACTGAAAATTTCAATGATGCTCAATTTTTTTCGCAGGTCCCGTTAGCCTCTTTTGATATTTTCAGAACTGATTTGGACAGTATGACTAAATTAAAAAAAAAATCTTCACGGGTTAGTCCTATTCTTTACTTTGTAAATATGGATTATTTTAATTATTTGAGGAATAAATTTTCAACGTTTTTAAACCCTCCAGAAAATAGGATTTCGCCCGCAATTATGAAGAAATTCTTATTAAAACTTTACCGCAGGTTTTTCTCTCTAAAACGCATAATTATTTACTTTTTGCGACGGGATGTCTTTTAATGTTTATAATTTAAAAAAAAAAGAAAAATACATTAATTAATATATGCGGGAAATACATGAGATAAATATTACATCATTTTTGGAACACTGACAAAATGTCATTGGAAATGTTGACTTAATTTTCATGAGCAATGAATTTAAATGTAATCGCTCTGTATGCGAATAATTATTACACTGTTTTGAATGTTTATGCATACAAATTTTAGAAATATTTCAGCTTCTTTATAGTTTTCGTTAATTGAAAGCGACAGTTGGCATTGTAAATTTTAAATTAATTAATTATTTTGTAAACCTTCACAGGAATCCAAGCATAACAAGCATGGAAGAAAGGGAATTTATTTTTTGAATAATTTATTGCCACTCGACCTAGGGTGTGTCCTTTTTAGCAACCGTCATCACATTTTAATTATGGAGGCCATTAAACAATTAGAAAAAACGCGATCTCTTATTAGGGAGCGCGAGCGTCACTTTGGGTCGAGAGACGTGAGAGCGTTTCCTTAAGCAGGGCCTGTCAACGCAAGCAGACACAAAAGCGGCCGCCTCTCTCTGATTTACAATCAGCCACCGTCGATTAGAATATATTTATTTTTTGCCTACGCCGCGATAGCAATCAAAACAATAATTATCAGCAGGCGTCTATAGTTTCGCGATTAAAAAAATTATCGTCAGTCTCCGATCTAAATTGGCAGCGGTGCCATGCGAAAATCTATAGATCCCCCTCCGATCATCCATTCCATTTTAGGAAGCCGAATTTTAATCGCGCTTCTGATTTATTTGCCCGGCCGTTGATAAATCTGCCGCCGGTCGGCACCGCAGCATTGGATGCAAATATATAAATAAAAATTTATTTATTACAGATCAGCGGCGGCTGAATTTATTATTGCGATAATTGAAAAGAAGATGATTTCATCTGTGAGCGTGTTTTGACGCTAATTTCCTTTCTCTTTATTTCGGTCGGGACGGCGCGAAATTTGCATTGAATGCGCCTCTCTTCGTGACATCAACAGGAACAAACACGATAACAATATCATTTGCATTATATTCCTCCCTATTCAATATAGTTTTGTATGCGGCGACGGCGTGCGCCCCGAACTACTTTTCTTTGCTCTAATCGCGACAGCGCGTGAGAAACAGAGAAGAGTCCTCAAAGGACTTGTATGGAGTTCTGAGTTCTGAATCAAAAGCAATATGATGTATTCACTTCACTTGGAAAGTTTCTCTTCTATATACGATTCGATAAGCAAAATTAAATTGTCTTCACATAAGTTTGTACTCAATTTCTGAACTAAAAGAAGCTTTATTGCAGGATTGTTGTGACACAAAAGGCAATCTCTGCATGGCGTAGTATTATTTTTTTTTATAAAAAAAATTTTACAATAAGTGAAACAATGTGATGTAAAAATTAGACAAATGAAACAAAAATAAAAATAATTTAATATATATTAACAAAAAAGTTTTTCGCGAGGAGAGAAAGAAAATTTAAAAATTGTTTTTTTGAGAAATCTCTTTGAAGTGAGATTTAAATCCAAATTTAAATATCAAGAGCTTTTAAGAAAGTTTCACCATTGCTAATTTGATGTACATCAAGTATCTTTAAAAAAATTTATTTTTCTGACATCATAAAAGAAATTCTAAAATTTAATACGATTTTCCTTTTATTAATTTTAAGCGTTTTCAATCTTCAAAACTATATGAATTAATGTCTATTTTACTTTGTATACCTTTCCACTAAGCACTCAGCCTTAAAAATGCAGTTGTTAGGAAATTTTTCAGTGGAAAAGGACACAAATTACCTCACAATAATTATGCCCCCATACGAAGTAAAACACAGAAGACATTTTTTATAATCACCTGTTTCCTTTCACGTGACTAAACAATCTAGACCGACAAAAGTTTTCTTCATTTTGCGTTTCCAGTCTTTTCCTTACACCACTGCATTGCTGACCAGATTGAGCACCATGTTGCCTTTTCTAATAATGCTCGTCGCTCTCATGCCACGTACATAAATATTCTTCAAATGATATGAGAAAAATGCAAAATGATGCGTCTCTATATTGCAGCATCGTTAGCGACCTTCGGGGTGACTATCGGAGCTGATTGGGCCGGTCGATATTCCTATGTCGTAAGATTTCTATATCGTTACAATAATAAGTCAGTTTATTCAAACTCCTATAAAGGTCAATACTTTAAGCTTGTCTGGCATCGCGGATGGTGTCGAGGTGAGTTTACCGGCGCTGATTGTGAGTGCCAAAATGGTTATTTCCTCTAATGATTTTGAGTGAGTTAAAATATATAGTTTCATTAAATTGCAATTTAATTTTGTTCGTACGCAAAAATTTATTAAATGTTTTACGCAAATATTTTTTTTTGCAATAATGCGAAAAAAGCAGCAAAAATCTTGAAAAAGAAAATTGTTCTCTCTTAATTTTTTTTTAAGATATCGCGTGGCTGTCATTTTAAATATTTCTATGTAAGCAGTTATTGGTGAACCAAATTTAATTTCATATAACATATTTAATCACATTTTTCTCATCTTCATTAATTTCTTTTATGAGGAGACGATATATCTTTTACATTTCACATAATAAAACCATATTGTCTTTAAATTGTAGTTTAAGTGTATTATTTTTCCATTTTCAAGCAGCTGCTTCACCGTATAATACAACCTCTGCAAAGCTGCTGCGCAAAAACATCCATTAATATAGTGGTTACGAGTTAAGTGTGCTTCATCCACCCGAGCTGCTCCAGTTAGGAATGCGCGGGATACGCAGAAACGCAACGCGTGCGGTATGAAAACAGAAAATCAATATCAATAAAATAAACCAGCCGAGAGAGGGAGAAAATAATGAAAAATTGGTCTGCTATTTTCTAAATTGCAGAGGGATGAAAGAGAAGAAAAAGCGCCGCTTCCATCCTTCTTCTAATTGCAAAGAGAGAAGCAGCATTATTATTATCATTATAGACTCGCTCCCATACAGATCCTGGGCCGCGTCCTATAATAATCGCAGAACAAAAGCAGCCGGCGCAGCTTTGGCGCCTAATTTATAGCAGCACTCGCCGCCAAAATTTCAATTAAACTGATATTATGATATATTGCCTCCCTCTGGCTGATAAATCATCTGCAACCACTCAATGGTGCCACCCCAAATAATCGAGCTTTGATATAATTATTGCCGCGGCTGCTAATAATGACGAAAGTTTCGTGTTTGCTATCGCAATTTTAGACAGAATGCACAGTTATAGCGGCAAAAGGGATAATTCGGAAGCTCCACCAAAATTCCACCAGCATACGCAGAGGGAAACAAATGGTTTGCTTGATTGGGAATTGGGGATTGCTATAATAATGCCATAGTTTGAGGCAAATTGCAATCCAAACAAATAAATTTTCGAATGAGAGCTTATCCTGGAATATTATCGGTCGCAAGTTTTGCCAACTGAAACATTATTGCTGTTAATTTTACTATTGAAAATTAATGGTTTGGGGAGGGGGGCATTTTGTTTCAGCTTATTTATAAAATTTTATTTTTACAAAAATTAAAATTTTGTTATAGAGGCAGCTTTTTTTAACGAAGCATTAATATTTTTTTTCTTATTGTTAGTTAATTAAATTTGATTTATTTCAATTATTTGCTTCTATTTAATATCATCATACATATATTTGCACAGTTCAAACACATCTTGAACGTAGGAAATGTAAATTTATTAGAAAATAAGTTCATAAGTTGGTATGTATTAGCAAGCACACATTATTTTAATGTCACTTTAAATAAAACATTTAAATAACTATTATAATTTTGTTTGTTCAATAAAATAAGTTTAAAGTTACTTCTTAAAAAAAATATTTGTAGAAATCTTATATAAATTTTTAAATGATATTAAATATAAAAAATATATTTAAAAAATTAATTAAATAAACTTTAAAAACATTGAATAAATTAAATGTACAATGCAATATTATAAATTTACAACAAAACATAAGCAATAAAATTAGTTAAAGTTTATTAGAGCAATGACCCGTTTGTTCTGTTTACACTCTGAAGCTTGAAGCTGCTCTGATTTTCTTGGTGTTTTGTGGCGGAAATTTTTCATCGATCTGACACAACAAACCCAAGTGAAGAGAGCTGCACCTTCCGAAAAATGTATTATTTTTCTTCATACTCGGTTTCTCTTGAAAAAGCAACCCAAGGGGCTGTCTCTGCTATAATGGGTGCGGTGGTTTTTATTCATCTCTTCTCTCGTATATGTGTTTTCCGTAACACGGAGGCGGCGGCGTCGTATGCACGCTGCGGTTCGCCTTAACCTCAAAGTATCCTTTTTCATCTTCAAGGCACGCTCGTTAGAAAAATCATTAGACAGCAAAAGTGAGACACTTTTCGGGATTCTCGGGCACTAATTGATAAAACATAAAAAAGCGGTGTAAATTACGCGAAGGGACATTTTTTGCCCAAAACGAGTCGTGTGCTGCGGTCTCCTTTTTTTGCTGTTTTAAATACTCAAATTTCCAATAAAAAAGTGAAAACAATATTGAAAACGAAAGGGTTCAATGCCCTTCCTGGCGTGGACTAAAAAAATTAAAACTCGCCGATACACAATTGAAACATATTTTGAGGGAGCACAAAACACAAAAAAAAAAAAACTGCAACTCAACAATAAAAGTGAAGGAAGCAGATAATCAGCTGTAGGAAAAACGCCCAATATCAGCCATAGTGATAAGAAAAACCACCTCAATAAACCGGTTAAAACCAGCCAGTGCATAATTATGCAGTGGTGCCAGCCCAAAAAACATAATCTGGAACATACTAGATAAGTACGGTTTTTTTTTTAATTTTGTGACTTTTTCAACAAATAATGTGATAGCCTGCAAAAATTATTGCTTTTTAAAACACAATTTTTTATTCATAAAATTCCTTCGGTAAATTTCGTAATATAAATCATTTTCTAACCTTTTTCATCACCATTCAAGCAAAACTTTTATGTTATTTCACCCAACCGCTGGAATTTATTTTTCAGCTCCCAATGCATTGTCGGGGGCATTTTTCAGGCGCACGCCATCAATAACAGCAGCGCCGAGTCACCCATTCAAACAAAGTTGAGATTTATACTTTTTGTCACCCTTTTTCTCTGATGCAACCCTCTCACTTCTGCGATGAAAAATGTTGCGTCTCCTCCGCACAAAGCACTCTCCGCGCGGTGGAGGCAGCTGAAAAAGCTCTCTGGACAGAAAAATAAAATACCTGCTGCTCAACGTTTTTCCTCTTTCTGACGGGTCAGTCACCTCTTTGGCGCGCATCAGGCACGCGGTCAAAGAGGGTTGTTAACCCTCATGTGCCTTTTCTACTGGAAATACGATCTACCGGCATGATTATTATTTTACCCGAATGAAAAAAAGATGTTTTTCTGGCCGAAAATTGCTGGTTTTTGAGGCGAGACGCGGCCGTCGCGCGTGGGCGGCAGATGTGGACCGGCCGACAAAGGGGTGGTTGAACGCCAGATCGCCACCCCCGGGCAAACGGGAGGCAGTTGCGTTGGCCTTACATAATAGTAAACCTGTTTGTCAAGGGTGAAATCATGCACCTTGGATAGATTCAAGGCGAAGGTCGAGTTACCCTGCTTTTCTGCGGTAAACAGCGACCCTTTTATCTAATTTCTGGGGACATTTCTGCTTTGTTAAGACTAATTCAACTTGATTTTGTTGTGGTTGTTGCTGCGCTCTGAACTAGGCTTCAGAAATAAATTGGAAACATTAGGTAGACAAAAAAAAATAGTGGATTAAACATATTAAATTAAATTACAAGAAAAAATATTTTATATATTTTATTACATAGACAAAAGTAATTAATCTACATTTAAGTTATTATATTGGATTAAAATAGTAGATTGTATATTATTAAATTTCATGCATTTTTTTTCTCTCTAATGAAATTGATTAAAATTGGAGATCATAAGAGTGGCAAAAAAAATTTTCTTATAGGAAATCTTTAATATAATGAATGAAAAGTTAATTTTATATTTAATAATTAATTTTTTTTTTGAAAAAAAAAGTAAATTTTCTAACATTTATGTTAATTTTTTTAATCAAAAATGAAATAAAAGTAAGATGGGACCATAATTTATAAATAATTAAATTAATTTTGTTTTTTTAGTATTATGAAAATTATATGTCAGAGCTTATAGTAATAACATCATTTCCGCCATATTTTTATAAATGTTCACCACTTTTCCACTTTAAACCATGGCAAAAATATTCTGCAGGTGTGAATGTGAGCACGAGATTCAATAACACGTGCCCAATGCTATATGTTTTTTTATCTCTCTTGGGCCGCGTGTGACAAAGTATTATTCAAGCCGTTCTTCTTGAGAGATTATTTTCCGGGTGAGACGCAATGATGCATCACAATACCTTCAAATCCATCCCGCTCTTATTATTCAATCCCTGCTTTTCCTGGCTCACGCGTGTATTTCGGGGGAATGTAAAAAGCGTGCGCAGATCATTCACCCTTGGAATCTGTCAATTCTCATGTTTGCGCCGGTAAATAAATACAAGGAATACGATTTCGAAGCGGCACCCGTTGGCGAGGCAAATTGAAAATATAGAGAGGATATTCGAAAAGGGGTTTCCTCCTTTTCGCTACAGCAGATGTTGTTTTGAGGGATGTATAAACAACCCTCGGCCAAAGGGGCAACGAACTGACGGCATGACTGACTGAAAAATGCGGATATTTCTTCATCTGTATCAAGAAATCACAAAAATACGTTAGCGTTAATTTTTATTATTTGTAAAACATTAGGAAAATTGAAATTTGCTGCAAGTGCAAATTAATAAAATAGCGGGCATAAAAAGGTAATTTTAAATAAATTTATAAAAATTTATGATACACAGTACTGTGTTGCGCGAGTTGCGTATTAATGACGCGCATGGTAATTTTTAATATCTTTCCAATGGAAAAAAGTTCAAATAAAACAACTTATTGTTCATGAATATCAGATATTTTAACCTATTTCTCAGTCTATAATGATAGTATATTATCAATCAAATATTTTGTACATATTTAACAAAGAAATCTCCAATTTTTCAAAATTTCAATGTTCTGGCTTGAAAGTAAGTGGCTAAATAACATTTAGCAAATTTTCATGATCACTTTATTTTAAACTTTGTCTTCTCTCTCTATTATATTATATTTTATGTAATTTATCGGTCTGTCAGCCCGATCGGAAACGATATGGCCGGCAAAATAATAACAATGTTGTCAATCATACCTCACTTTTGTATAGAGATGTAATGTTGCATCGGGTAATTTGAAAAATAATAATACTTGCCGCCGATAACTACTGTTGGAAAACGATTTATCCTGGTCTTGGGGAGCGCACGATCA